TCCCCCCCCCCCCCCCAACACACACACACACACACACACACACACACACACACACACACACACACCACCCCCTGCTCCTTTTGCGCAGACGAGCGGCCTCGACGGCGCGGCCACCCTCTCGCTGCTCAACTGCCTCTCAGATCTGCAGACGAACCAGGGCCTCACCATCGTGTGCGTGATCCACCAGCCGCGCTTCTCGGTCTTCAAGAAGTTCTCGCACGTGCTGCTCCTCGGCGAGGGCGGCAAGCAGGTGTACGTCGGCCGCCAGGACAAGGTGCAGCCGTACCTCGAGCGGCTCGGCTTCGACATGCCGCAGGGCGAGAACAGTGCGGTGAGGCTCCTCATCTCTCGGCTGCATCTCGGCTGCATCTCGGCTACATCTCGGCTACATCTCCCACAGGACTGGATGATCGACGTGACGTGCGGCCTCTCGCCCAACAAGGACTCCACCTTTGTGGCGCCCGACGGCCTGTACTCGGCGTGGGAGACGCGCTACGCCGCGCACGCGCTCGAGCCGTCCCTTGAGTGGTAGATAGATAGATAGGAAGGCGAAACACAGTCCGACCAACGGCTGGACACCAGCGCGGTATGGGTGGACGCGAGACGGGCGGTGACGGTCACACAGGAGCGACACACAGAACCGCAAGACAAGACACTCAGCCAAACTGACTGCCACACATCCTGAGCGAACTTCCCTAGGTACTCCGGCGACCCGGCCCGGCCGGAGCAGCTGGCCGCGCTGCACCCGCGGCGCGGCGTGAACATCTGCGTCGCCATCTCCACCATGCTGGGCCGCGCCTTCCGCCAGATCGACGTCGAGATCGAGCTGCGCTGCTGGCTCGTCTTCCTCCTCCTCGGCTTCATCGTCGCCATGGCCCTCAGCCTCGACTACCAGTGGGCAAACGTCCCCCACATCCTCGACGCCGGGAACGACATCTTTGCGATGTTCGTCGCGGTGATCCACCGCGCCGACTTCGGCGACACCAAGGTGCTCACATCAACGCACACCCCCGGACCCACCGACGCACAAGCACAGACAGTCGAGAAGGGAGAGACAGCAACAACAGTCTGAAGTCAGCGCAGGGTGAGTCCCAGGAAGGCGAATGCGATGACGGCCTCTAGTGCGAGCCCTATCTATGTACAGCGAGTCAGGAGCCGACCGACCCTCGCGTCCGGTGCTCACCGCAGGTGCTCACCCGGCGCGAGCTCAACTCGGGCGTCTCCGTCATCGCCCTCTACGTCGCGGTCACGCTCCGCACGTGGGTTGTCTGCTTCTTCCAGGCACACACTCTCACACACGCACACACACAACACACAACACACAACACGCACACGCACGCACACACACACACACACACACACACACACACACACACACACACACACACACACACACACACACACACACACACACACACACACACACACACACACACACGCACACACACGCACACGCACACGCACACACACACACACCGCTCACCCGCGCGCACCGGGCCTTGCACTTCAAATATGCCGTGGAGCTCCTCTCTTTTCGACGTGGAGTCGCGAGGGTCGCCTGGCCCTTGCCCCACCGCCCTGTGTGTGTGTGTGGAGAAGTTGACCGTACCTTGTACCGTCCCTCCGTCCAGGCCTTTGCCTTCTGCGTGCTCAAGTACGTCCTGCTGCCGCCGTACCAATACTTTGGCGTCTACCTGATGGGGCACGTTGGCACCGCCTTCTGGTGGGCGAGCGCGGCGCATTGGCTCTCCCTGGTCCTCGACCAGAAGACGGCCACCATCGTGCTCCTCTTCATGCCCAACATCTGGAAGATGTTCGATGGGTCCGCCGCGGGGGAGGGGCTGCGCGAGGTCAGTGCCGACCACTGCCACCTGCGGGGTCTGATAGGTTGCAGTAGCTGATACTGGTGTCGTTGGTGGTGATAGTGGAGACATAGCAGCCTGCATCTGCCCACTTCAAAGCAATAGTTGTTGAGTCAGTGTCGTTCGTGATAGGGCGAGGAGGACAACACGATTCGCAACGAGACGGCGAGCTACATCACCCCCGCGCGGTGGTACATGCAGATGACGTACTCCAAGGAGATCTGGGACTACCCCGAGAACGTGCAGAACAACCGCTACGTCAACGCGACCCTCTACTCGCGCGACTTCCCTACCGACGACGACGGGTCCTACGACCTCCACAAGGCCTGCTCCGAGGGCGGGCTGATGCTCTTCCTGACGCCATTCTTCGCGCCGCCCTTCTACATCCTCACGCTCCTCACCCTCACCCTCATGAAGGCCTCCAACAGCAAGGCGTGCGGCGGATGCTTCGCCGGCATTGCCAGCCGCTTATACGATACGTTCGGCTGCTGCCACGTCCCCGCATTCGAGCTTCCCAAGGTGCGAGGGCCGTGTCGCGGCTCCCTTGAACCCCATCGCCACACGTGAAGCGAGCAAACGCGCCCCCCCCCCCCCCTCTCCCCTGGGCTCTCGGCGATCCCGACCCCGGAGAGCGGAGCCAGACACCGCGCATTCTGTGCGTGCAGGCGGACCGTGTGAAGGAGGCCATCCCGAAGTTCAAGATTGGGGGCACGTCGCAATCGGACGCTGCGGCGACTCCGGAGGCGGACAAGGAGACCGCATAGGATCGAGGGCCATGCGATCGCGCTTGGTCTTCTTCATCCTCGCGACACCGAGTCCAAGTATCCCGCCTGTCAAGGGTGCTGCTCCGTGATCGCCGCATGTTCGTCGCGGCGCCCGCTCCGTGATGGCTACTACGTTTGAGCCCGCGCGGGGGGCAGGCATCTTGTCCCGATCGGGCCGGAGCCCACGCATGTTTTCGAGGGCCCCTTTCCCGCTTGCCCACGCATGTTTTCGAGGGCCCCTATCCCTCCCATTCCGTATGTCAGGTGCCCACGCATGTTTTCGAGGCCCCTTTCCCAGTCTAATGAGTATAATGTCTCTAAAGAGTAATGACAAAAGTCTGTGTAATGTGTATGCGCGCTGACGCGCTCTCCGAGAGGGCGAGAGCGAGGCGCAGCGACACCACATCACGTCAATGCGAGAGAACCACGCAGACAGGCCACAGCCCCTGTGCCCTGAGGCGAGTCGTGACGTCAAAATCGTGTGGGTTGGTGTGCGGGTTGTGTCTGGAAAGGAGGGGGTGCACGGGTCTGCTCACCCACGGCACTGGGGGGGGCCTTGGTGCACTTTGAATGCGCCGTGGCGCTCCCCTCTGCCCGTGTCTGCGGGCTCTGGCGAGATGCGAGGGTCGCCCCCCCCTTGCCCCACCACGTTGTGTGTGTGGAGACGTTTACCCTTACCTTACCTTTACACGTAACTACTTACTCGCTGCATGTCAAGGTGCCGCCGCCGCCGGAGGGGTGAACGAGGCCGTCGGCAAGCAGCGCCAGTGTGTGGCCCATCTCGCCCCGCCGGACGTGGAGAACCTGGTTTGTGGAGCGTGACTGTGTGTGTGTGTGTGTAGGTGGGGGTGGGGGGGGGGGGGGGCACGCAGGGCAGAGGCAACGGTCATCGGCTCGCCGAGGGGGGAACGAGGAGGGGGGAATGGGCGGTCGGCGTCGGGGTAGAAGCCGCAGGGCGTACGGGGTAGCCGTCACTTTCCTGCCTCACAAGGGCGGGGCTGTCCCGGAAAGTGAGAAACGCCGGGCAGCGTCACGTCCCCGCTACACCCTCCGCTCTAAGATCAGCGAGAGCCTCTTACATCGGCTAAGTCTCCTGACAAGGGACACGACAGGCAGGCTCGCAGCGCGGTGCACGGTGGACTCCCAACTCCACTGGCGGTCTCATCTCAGTCCCGTGCCCAGTCGTGCGAGTTGTACCCGAGTAAAATAGTAGGGGGAGGGCTCCCAGGGCCTGGAGGTCTTTTCAGTTGCAACCATGATGATAGGCAAGGCGTTCAGTGTAGTGAAGAAATAACAAGAAAAGGACATGGTTCGACCTCGCGTGCGAGATGTGTGTCGCGCCCCTCGTCGCCGGACACCTCCCGACACGGTGTGAAGAACAATCTCGACCGCTACTACGCCACCGCCCTTCTCACTGCGCAGCTCACGGCCCTCCCTCTGGGTGAGCTGATGTCGATCATCACGCCGTCGAGACTTTGGCGAGGCATGGGGCGCGCTGGCAGCGCCGCCATCACCTACTCTCCCTTCATCTCGGGATGAGATCGCGATCTCGGCGATCTCGGACGATCTCGAGCGAAATGTGTTCGTGTGCGTCGCCCATCTCTCCCTGGAGATGACTGTAGACTGCTCTATTTATTCTGGGCACGGGACTGGCGCGCACTGGCACTAACACAGTAAAAAGAATTTTACTGGCTAACTCTAGGAATTTTGCGCTCGCTGGGCGTGCGCCCGTGATTTGTAGTTCTCTTTTGATGGGCCATACCCCATACGCGCGGGGCCGGCGGCGCGTCGTATTCACTCGCGCACACTGTCGATCGAAGAAAAGAAACGCAGTGTTCGGGGCCGTGGTGAATAGAATTAGAAAAAAAAATCCCGCCACGTGAGAGCGACACGCGAGGCCGAGGGTCGCCCAACTTCCGGGGCGGACCGTAAGCGGCGAGAGCAGAAGACAAGTAAATGCAAACGAACACGCCGGGTGAGGGACGCGCTGCTCCCGCGCGGCCCTGCAAACTGCGCATAGACTGTCTTGCAAGGATCTTTGCGGTCCAGTCGTTCCAAGTCAAGCGGATGCGGGCGTGCTGGGCGGCCACGCCTCGACCTTCTTGGGCAGCAGCTGGTTCGATAGGTCCTCTCCGTGGCCTAGGCAGGCGTGGTCGCCCTCGCCCCAAGTAAAGACAGCGCCATCGGCGGTGATGGCGAGGCTGTGGTCGTTTCCCGCCGACACAGCGACGACACGCCGACCAGCAAAGGCCTCGACCTTCTTGGGCGGCAGCTGCTGCTGCTCGTCGCCGTGGCCCAGCCGGCCATCGCCTCCCAAGCCCCAGCTCCAGACGCTGCCGTCGGCGGTGAGGGCGAGGCTGTGCAGACCTCCAGCCGACACGGCGACGACGCGCTGGCCTGCCAAGGCCTCGACCTTCTTCGGCAGCAGCTGCTGCTGCTCGTCGCCGTGGCCCAACTGGCCATCGCCACCCCGGCCCCAGCTCCAGACGCTGCCGTCGGCGGTGAGGGCGAGACTGTGCCATGCTCCAGCCGACGCGGCGACGACGCGCCGCCCCGCAAAGGCCTCGACCTTCTTGGGCAGCAGCTGGCGCTGCTCGTTGCCGTGGCCCAATCGGCCCCCACCTGCACTGCCCCAGCTCCAGACGGCTCCGTCGGTGGTGAGGGCGAGGCTGTGCGCGTCTCCAGCCGCCACAGCGACGACGCGCTGGCCAGCCAACGACTCGACCTTCTTCGGCAGCAGCTGCTTCTGCCCGTCGCCGTGGCCCAACTCGCCATCCTCTCCATCGCCCCAGCTCCAGACGGCTCCGTCGGCGGTGAGGGCGAGGCTGTGCAGACCTCCAGCCGACACTGCAGCGACGCGCTGGCCAGCAAAGGCCTCGACCTTCTTTCGCTGCCACTGCTCCTCCTCGTCGCCGTGGCCCAGCTGGCCGTTGCCTCCATCGCCCCAGCTCCAGACAGTGCCGCCGGTGGTGAGGGCGAGGCTGTGCGCGAACCCAGCCGACACGCTCACGGCGTGCTCGCCGCCGAGCGAGGAAGGGAGGCGGGTCGGCGTGTTGAGCCGCGTCACGCCCTCGCCGTGACCGAGCAGGGCTGGAGTCCAGTGCGGCGCAGAGCCGCACGACGAGAGCCGCCCCTCGCCGTCGATGAAGACGCTGTGCCGATCGCCTGCCGCCGCCCTCGCCGGCGGGTTGGACTCGCACAGCAACGCGGAAACGCACAGCCACCGCACGGCGCAGCCCTCGCCCTCTGGCTGCGCTGGCAGCTCGAAGCCGCGCTCTTGCGCCCACAAGCGGATGGCCTCCACCGCAAGCGAGGCGTGAAAGAGCAGCGAGACGGCCGCGACGCGAGCGATGTCGGCGGGGTCGCAGCGAGAGACGACGCGCACGAGTAGCTCCGTGGGGAGGTCGAGGAGGCGGGCGGGCGGTGGCGTGTCTGGCGAGGGAGCGGCGGTGGCGGCGGCGGCGGAAGCGGCGGCGAGGCGGCGCGAGCGGCGCGAGTGGCGCGGCGGGGTGGACATCATCGCGAGGGAAAAGAATTGTCTTAGGCTCTTAACACAGATGCAAACTGGCGCGTGCTAGTTCTGTCGGCTTCGGTTTTCTTCTTTCTGGCGGCATGAGCGGCGCCGCGAGCCCGACTCTGCCGCCCGAGCTGGCGGTGGGCGACCTGGCCGCGCTGCGAGCCTTCCTCTCCGGGCGGCGGACGCGCGGCAGGCTCAACGCGCGGCACGACACCGAGAAACAGGACACGCTGCTGACCTGGGCCGCTCGTCACGGGCAAGCCGAGGCGGTGCGGCTGCTGCTCGAGGCCGGCGCGAGCGTCGGGGCGACGACTGGCGGCGGCGCGTCGGCGCTGTATATTGCGTGCCAGGAGGGCCACCTCGAGATCGCGAGGCTGCTGCGCGACGCGGGCGCAGCGGTCGGCCAAGCCATGGATGGTGGCGTCACGCCGCTGTACATCGCGTGCCAGAAGGGCTACGTCGACATCACCCGGCTGCTCCTCGAGGCTGGCGCCGCGGTCAATCAAGCCTCCGACAACGGCACCACGCCACTGCTCATCGCGTGCCAGAAGGGCCACGTCGAGATCGCTAGGCTGCTGCGCGACGCTGGCGCAGCGGTAAGCCAAGTCATGGATGGCGGCTACACGCCGCTGCTCATGGCGTGCGCGGAGGGCCACGTCGAGTGCGCCCGGCTGCTCCTCGAGGCTGGCGCGGCGGTCAACCAAGCGGATTCTGAAGGCCGCACGCCGCTGTACGTCGCGTGCCAGGAGGGCCACGTCGAGTGCGCCCGGCTGCTCCTCGAGGCTGGCGCGGCGGTCAACCAAGCGGATTCTGAAGGCCGCACGCCGCTGTACGTCGCGTGCCAGGAGGGCCACGTCGAGTGCGCCCGGCTGCTCCTCGAGGCTGGCGCGGCGGTCAACCAAGCGGATTCTGAAGGCCGCACGCCGCTGTTCGTTGCGTGCGAGGAGGGCCATATCGAGTGCGCCCAGCTGCTGCGCGACGCTGGCGCGGCGGTCAACCAAGCCCGCAACAGCGGTACCACGCCGCTGTTCATGGCAAGCCAGCAGGGCCAGCTCGAGATTGTTCGGCTGCTCGTCGAGGCTGGCGCAGCGGTCAACCAAGCCAAGCAGAACGGCGCCACGCCGCTGTTCATCGCGTGCCAGCAGGGCCAGCTCGAGTGCGTTCGGCTGCTCCTCGAGGCTGGCGCGGCAGTCGACCAAGCCAGGCAGGATGGCGCCACGCCGCTGTTCATGGCGTGCGCGGAGGGCCACGTCGAGGTCGCCAAGCTCCTCTCCTCCTACGGCGCCTCCCGCGCCGCGGTGCCGCCCGTTGGCACGCCCGAGGAGATCGCAAACCTCTTTGAACACGCCGACCTCGCCGCCTGGTTGGTCGCCAGCCGCGGCTGGACGCCGCTCGCGCACCTTGAGAGCCTCACCGCCGCCCGCGCCACCGCCCTCCTGCGCAGCGGCGCAAGCTTGCACGAGGGCGAGCCGACGCCGCTGCAGCGCGCCGCGGGCGGCGAGGGCGAGGCGGCGGCGCTGATCCGGCGGGCGGCGGCGCCGTGGTCGCCGGCAAGCCACTCGCTCTTCCCCGCGGCGGCGCGCGCGCGGGCGGCGCTCCTCGTCCTCTCGCTCTACGAGATCCACGAGCGGCACCATCTCGACTCGGCAGGAAACACGAACGGCATCGCGGCGCGCGACTTTAGCGCGTGCGTGCTGCGCTTCGCGATCGCGCGCGAGACGCAGTAGCGTGGCGCGCGATCGCAGTGTGCCGCACGCGGTGGCGCGAGCGAAGAATAGCCGGTGAGTGTCGACGCCCCGTCAAAGATAAGACAGAGAATGAGAAAGAAGAGAACGGCCAAAGGGGAGAGGCGCGTCGCAGTCTACGTAGTGACTATGCAGGTCTCCCGGCGGCTAGTGCAGCAGCTCGCGGCTCGAACCGCGTCACGCAAGGCCAAGAAGATCCGGCAGAAGGAGCGCCGGGCGAAGGAGGCTGGCGAGCGCGCCGCGAGCGAGGCCGAGCGCGCGGAGGCCCCGCGCGCGCAGCTGCGCGAGAACATCGAGTACGTGGTGGCCGGGCTGCGGTCTGCAGCTGCGCAGGCGCGCAGCCAGGCCGGGTCCAATATAGGGGTCGAATACTCGCTGCCCCCGGAGAGGGACGACGGGTATCGACGCGGCCCCAGCAAGGTGTACGCCACAGTTCCCCAGGGGACCGTGGCGACGACGGTCGCCCCGGACTGGCTCGCGAACGAGCTGGCCGAGCACGGAGAGATCGATGCGGCATACCGCGACCGCATAGTCATGCACCTGATGACGGCCGCCGGCGCCTCGGCGCCGGCCGACGCCGTGTTCAGGTTCACGGCTGGCGAGGCGATGCAGACCGAGGACGACGACGAGGACGCCGACCGCTCCGAGGAGTATTCCGACGACGGGAGGGTGTCCGACCTGTAGCTGGCCTCACCCATATCTTACCCCTTCTGTCCCCCCCTCCTGCGACCCCCCAGGCCTAGATGGAGTAGTCACAGATAAGCCGGATGAAGATTCTGCCCCACACAGCCCCTTACCCCTTCACCCTCGCCTCCCTGCTTGGTGTTTCTGAACACGTAGACGTCCACGCTGTGGGGGTTGTGTGCGGGTTGTGTCTGGGAGGGAGGGAGTGGGGTGCAGGTTGCTCACCCACGGCACCGGGCCGGTGCTTGCACTTTGAATGCCGTGGGGCTCCTGCCCGTGTCCCGGGCGTGGAGATGCGAGGGTCGCCCCCCCTTGCCCCACCACTTTGTGTGTGTGGAGACGTTTACCTTACCTTACCTTAGTGCAAAATTTCTTCAGACGCCGTTCTCCATGGCGCGCGTTCCGCGTAGCTATGACAGGGACCGCGGCCGCGGACCCGGTGGCGGACGGGGCTGGTGCGCAAGCGCCGGCCACCGTCGTGCCGCCGGGGATGCGCAGCGGACGCTGGGCGGCATGCCTGGAATAAGCTAGGTGAACGAAAAATCGAGTGCGGGTGGGTAGGGCTTAGGTAGGTAGGTAGAAAGGTGAAGAACAGCCAGGCTCGGACTGGACACCAACGCGGTATGGGTGGACGCTAGACAGATGATGACGAAACGCACGAGCGACACACAGACACAAACAGGCTCACAAGACACTTGAAACAAGAAAAGAGAATTTAAACAAAACAACTCTCTCTCACAGCACACAGGCTCGACACAGGTGCGAACTGGCGCGTGCTCAAGAAAAGAGAAAAACCGCCTCCACACGCGAACCTCCTCGTGTCCTAGCTCCTCCTCGAGATCATCCGACGGGTCACCCGACGTTCGAAGACGCTTTCCCGATCGCTGTCCGAAGACGCGTCGTCGGGACGGGAGTCGCTGGCCGGCAGGTCCTCGACCGCCGGCTCCTCCTCGACCGCGGGCTCCTCTGGCGTGGGCACGTCCTGCAACGTTTCTGGAACGACAGCGAGAAGCGCCTCCGCGCCCGCCTGCCGCCGCTTGCACTTGCCCAACTCCTTGTCCACGCCGCTCGCGTGCGTCTCGAGCCGCTTGCCGTACACGACCGCCTGCTCGAGTCGCGCGCCCGCCAGCTCGCCGCGTAGGTCCCACACAAGGTACGCCAGCGCAGCCTTCTTCAGGTTCTTTATCTGGAGAGCCATCAGCGCGCCGCGCCGCTGCGACGAAAAGAGCGTGTTTACGGCAGCTTTCGCGGCGATGAGGATGCCGTTGGTGACCTCGCCGACGATGCTGACCTCGTTGGAGGGTGCGGGGACGAGTTGGTTGCCGAGGAGCATGGTCTCGAGGCGATTTAAGAGCGCGGTGGGCTCCAAGGCGAGCTGCGCCGAACTGGAGCGAGTCGGCCGCGCCCGAATTGCTGGCACCGCATCGGCGCCGGTCGAGTCCGACACGACCGCGGTCTTCTCCACCGGCTCGAGGTTCGCCATCCGCGGCGCTGCACCGCGGATTCGAACGGCTGCTCGCTCCTGCTCGGCGGCTGGCCTGTCAGCACGGCGCTTCGAGAGGGCGGTCGCCGTCGGTGCACGTTGACTATCATGGCGAGCGAGCAGCCCCGCAGTGAGTGGATGCAGCCCACCGGAGGTACTGTCTGAGGTGGGGCCCGGCGCGTGAGGCTCGTCGGCGTCCGCCATCACCGCCTGCGGCCACTGCAGAGTCGGCCAAACCAGGCTTGATTTTGGCCATTTTGGCACGGACCCTTGCGGACTCTTCACAGCTGGGTCCCGGTGCACCCGGCACCGTGCCGCCCGTCGTTAGCATGGCCGTCGTTACTTTCGCCGCCGCCTCTGCTGCTTGTCGGCGGAGCGCCTCGCGCCTTCCCTCGTCTCCATGCTCCTGGTCTTGTTCTTTTTGTTTTCCTGCGCTTCCTGTCGCTCGTCCGGCGACGTATCTTGCCGTCTGCCTTCGCTTCCTGGCGGGCCGCGTTTCCTTCCCCTCGTCCCGTCTGTTTTCTCCTGCGTGGTCGCCCTCGCGTGCGCCGCTCGCCGTCTGTTCTCCTCTCTGCTCGTCGTCCTCGTCCCCTCGCTGTCGTCGCTTCCCTCCGGCGCTCGCCGCATCGTCGCTCCTGTCACCGCGTTTCCTGCGCTGGCCTTCGCCTTCGAGCTCGCAGTGGGTCGTTTTGGGTGTCATTGACTGGGTGGCAAATGATCGCAGTGGGCGTCAGAAGACTTGTCCTTGCGCGAGGAGAGCTCGATAGACTCGAGGGGCCAGGATATGCAGCGAGGAGGGCGGAGCTGCGCCGAAAGGCGCAAGAAGCCGCGAGAACAAGGGACCGGCATGCGGCGGCGGCGTCGCAGAACGAGGCAGAGGAGAGCGACGCGACAGAGGAAGAAGCGACAACATCACACCCCTCTCCTTAAAATCCCTGTGTGGTGGCGGCGTGCCGTCCTCCCATCCCTCCCTTGGGTTGTCCGTTTTCTTTCTTTTAGACAGGCTCGACACAGCCACAGGTGCGGATGGCGCGTGCTAGCACTATCACAGGCAAACCACCGGAGCCGCCTAAGCGACTCCGGTAAGCACGGCAATGCACTTAGCGTGCTCGGAATCCCTAAACTTGCGTAACCGAAAGGAACTTCGGCGGGAGGTTGCGCCATGGCAACTCATGTCGAGGCAGAGGCCCTCGATGCGGGTGCGAAGCAGAAACGCACGATTGTGTACACCTTTGATTGCTTGAAGATTATGGTCTGATGAGCGTCCACCAAAAAGCATGCTGACACACACATAGACTGATCACAAGAAGAGGCCAGTGCGCGCCACTCACGGTGCGAAAAATTCTTTTTATCTCGTTACCGACCTTGTTACACGATGGACGCGCCGACGCGCGAAGCCTTCCTCGCGTGCGTCCTCGCCTTCGAGCAGCTCGAGTCTGGACTGCGGCCATTCGTCCAGTACATTATTGAGGTCCCGTTCATCGCGTCGGCACTCAGCCTTGCCGCTGCGAGTGAGCTGAGTGCGCTGCCGCAGCCGTGGGTGTGGTCGCAGCCGTACCCTTCGACCACGAAGGTCTTCCCCAAGTCGTATGGCGCGTGGATGAAGACCGACGCGGTCGTGCAGGGCTGGATCCGCGTCCTCTTTGGCGGAGCCGGCACGGTCGGGCTGCATCGCTTGGGCAAGCCGTCTCAAATCCCGTGGCACAACGCCGACGAGCAGAAGTTCGCGGACATCGTCGCCAACGCGGTGAAGCAGCGCGCTGCGGCGTGGGAGCTCGCCAAGATGCTCATCGACTCGCTCGACAGCGACCGCGCCGCGGCCAAGGCGAAGACGGGCGCCGAGGGCTTCGCCGCCGATGGGCTGCTAAAGCTGATTCGCTTCTGCAAGGTGTTCGAGGAGAGCGTACCGCCGCTGCACGCGGCAGGCGTCCTCGATGTGGGCGGCCCGCTCGACGAGGCGGGCCGGGCGCGCAACCACACCTTCCACCCGAGCGGCGCGTCTAGCTTCCAGCTCACGCAGGCGGAGAAGGAGGAGCGCATCGGGAAGCTCGAGGCGGTGCTGGGCCTGGTGGAGAGCTGGGCAGGCCTGCCGGAGGACTGCAGGAGCGCCATCGCTGCGGCGAAGGCGCGGATGGCGGAGATGAAGGCGCCGGGCTACGCCACGCCAGCCGACGACCGCCGGCGCGTGTACGAGATGTACCTGCAAACCGCGGCGCAGATGGCGGACCTCAAGGTGGAGGCGGGCGCCGCCAAGGCGGAGCTCGAGTCCATCGGGCAGTGCATGCAGACGCTGTGTGCCTCGCTGCCCAATGATTGGGGGCGAGACATTACTGAGGCTGCGCTCCACAGGCTCGGACTGGACCAGCTGCCGGCGCAGCTCAGCAGCGTCGAGCGTCAGGTGGCTGCGATCACATCGAGCACGCAGCGGCGAGACGAGTTCGCGCTGATCGATGCGAGGCAGCAGCGCGAGGCGGCAGCGCTCCAACTCCGCCACGCGGACGAGAAGTTGCAGCGCCTCGAGGATCGGCCGGGAGTAGCCCTCCTCGAGGATCACTCCGTTGTTGGCGGCGGCGGCGGCGGCGGCGGCGGCGGCGGCGGCGGCGGCGGCGGCGGCGGCGGCGGCGGGCCGCAACCGCGAACCCCAGCAGGGGCGGCGGCGCAGGACATTTTTGTTTCGTTGCGGCTGGGCGAGGCGCGGCGCCAGGCGCTTGAATTGAAGGCGGCGATCGAGGCGGAGCGGCCCGGCGTCAAGTGTTTCGTGAGCGGCAACAATCCCAACGGAGAGTACATCGACGAGCTGATCTGCAACGCCCTCCACAATTGCCGCCTCGTGATTATTATGGGCTCGAGAACATACGGCTTGCGCACCGAGAGCGCTTTCAGCACGTTTCAGGAGCTGCAGTGGATCCTCCAGACGCGGAAGCCCCTGTTCCTGGTCAAGATGTGCGAGGGGCCGTTCGAGGTGAGCACGACGCAGGTCAAGCTCGGAAGCAACATCAAGTTTCGGTTGTGGCTGCCGGGCACGGCGATGCCGGAAGGCCTCGTCAACGAGGTCCTCTCCAAGCTCGACAGCTGCGCCGCGCCGTCGAGCAACGCGCCGCCACCCGAGATTTCGAGTGGAGTCGGCGGCGCTGGCGGCACTGGCGGCGCTGGCGGCGCTGGCGGCGCTGATGGCGCTGGCGGCGCTGGCGGCTTTGGCGGTAGTGTTGGCGGCGGTGGCAACAGCACAGGCGGCGGGGGCAGCGGCGACGGAGGCGGTAGCGGCGACAGCGGCGGCGGCGACGGCGGCGGCGGCGGCGGCGGCGGCGGCGGCGGCGGCGGCGGGGGCGGCGGCGGCGGCGGCGGCGGCGGCGGCGGCGGCGGCGGCGGCGGCGGGGGCCGGGGCGGCAGCGGCGGCGGCAGCAGTGGTGGCGGTGATTACCTTCATTTGCAGGGGCAGGGGGTGCTGGTAGCCATGGACGCAGATCGGGCTCAGGTGGCCGCCGCCTTACTATCACAGCAGCAGCACCTCGTTGCACAGCAGCTGGCGGGCGTGGCCGGCCACGTGCGGCTCGAGGATCTCGGCAGCGCCATCCCTACGGCCCGGCGGCTGAGCATGCAGCCGCTCCTTGAGGCTTTGCTCAGCATCGGCGGCGGCGGCGCAGGCGCGACGCTGCCTGTGGCGAGCTCGTCCGCCGGGCCGCCCTCCTCCTCCTCGCAAAGCGGCGGCAGCACGGCCTCCTCCGTCATGACCATCACTATGGAGGGAAGCTTGTCTGGGCCGCCGCCCTTCGACTGCCAGAAGTTTAAGGAGAGGCTCGCCAGCAAGCTCGACATGACGACAGAGCAGCTCAAGCTGAGGACGGTGAGCCGCGGGGGGAGGCGAAATCACGAGGTGCAGACGAGCCCGGGCTTGAGCATCCGCGTTGAGGTCGACGAGGAGGGCTATCTCACCTACGAGTCGAGCGGCTACTCCTCGGAGGACGGCAGCGAGGCCTCCGATTTGTCCGCGGCCGAAACAGACATTCAATCGGCGGTCAGGTTGGCCCTCAGGCCACAGCGCCGCATCACCCCTGACGCGATCGAGGTGCTCTGGACCAAGGAGGGCTCCATCATCGTCTGCGTCAAGCTCGACCTGCCGTACGCGCTCAAGCTGATGGACCTCTACTTGCGCGGCGACTCGAGCTTGAAGGACGAGCTGCGCGTCGTCGGAGTGGGCTTGGTGACGGCGTCGCCTGACGGCGCCGCTATGCAGCCGGAGGAGTCGTCGATGCGACAGTTCGACGAGCGTGCAATGCCGCCGGCGCGAGCCGCCGCGCCCTCCCTGCCGCCGTGCTCGGACTGCGGCGCGAAGAGCGACTTCGACCTCGAGCTTGGCAAGGCGACCTCCCGCTGCGGCATGGTCATGCCGTATCGGCCCGCCCCAGCCCGGCAGGCGGCAAAGAAGTCGCCGACGCGCATCCAGAAATGGTACGCGGAGATGTCGCGGCGGCTCGGCGGCTTGCCCTCCTTTGTGGTCAAGGACGCCTCGCGGATGTACCACGCGTGCCTTCTCAAGGACAAGGAGCGGCAGGGCTGCAAGGACCTCGACCTCGCCCTCGCGGCGCTCGACCGCGCGATGTGCAAGATCGGCATCCTGCGCTCGCGGCCGGACCTGCTCGCGTCGACGGCGCAGCGGGTCGACGGCGACGGGCTGACCGCGGGCAAGCTGCTGGTCGACTCCAAGGCCAAGGAGCCGCTCCCCTCCGAGTCGCCCACGCTCGAGAAGTTTGTAGTGCTGCTCTGCAAAGAGCTCAACCTGCGCGGCCAGTGGGCAAAGATGGCGGCGGCCGTGGCCGCGCAGGCGGACGCGCTCGGCGCGGGTCGCGACACGCCGCCCCTGACGCTCGCCGCGACGGTGTGCGTCCTCGTCGTCGAGCGCCACCCGCCGAAGGAGGCGCCGTCCTCGCAGACGATTGCGGCCGCCGCCGGCGCGCGGCCCAGGGGAGAGGGGGCTGCGGCGCGTTGAGGGTTGGAGTAGAGGAGGCGTGGTCCATCCCTCCGGTAGGCCTGGAGGAGAAGGACCTGCTCGAGACGTACCAGATGCAGCTGCTGCCGCACCTGCAGGCGCTGCTCGACGCCTCGCAAGAGGCCATCCTCCCGACGGCGCCGCCCGCCCTCGGCTTGGGCGGGGGGCTGAGCAGCGGGCTCGCCGACCCCCGGATGTCGCCCCAGTGGAGGGGAGGCGCAGCGCTCGGGCCCGGCGGGCTCGGGGCGGCGGGGCCCATGGCAGCAGCTGCCGCGGCCGGGCCGTTGGAGCGGCCGTCCACGGACCCGCGCGGCGACGGGCCGGGCGCGGGGCTTCTGGGCGGAGGACAGGCCTCGCACGAGCGGCCCTCCACAGACCCGCACTACTCGCTTCTGCGGTGCTCGCCGCGCTTGCACCCTCCAAACGCGTCGCCCCTGCTCGGGCCTCGCGCGATGCCGCCGCCGCCGCCGCGCCGCCCGGCCGACGGCGACCACGCGGCCGAGGCCAAGCGACGAAAGATCGACCCCAACGCGCCGCTTTCGGATGGCGACATCGAGGCGTTCCTCGAGCCAGACATGCACACCCTCGACGAGCAGTACGGCTCCATGGCGGCCGACGAGCGACACGCCATGGCGGCCGACGAGGGCCTCGAGAAGGTGAAGAAGGATTGGAGGGCGCTCGAGGACCTTTCGGAGCAGCAGAAGAACAATCCCACGATTGTGACGATGGCAGTGGCGCAGAACGGCCAAGCGCTGAAGCACGCCTCCGACGAGCTGAAGGGCGATCGCACGATTGTGCTGGCGGCGGTGTCGCAGCGCGGCGGTCAGGCCTCCTGGAGGGCGCTCTCTTACGCTTCGCCCGAGATGAAAAAGGACCGCGAGGTTGTGACGGCGGCGGTGCAGCAGAACGGCTCCGCGCTGCAGTTCGCAGATCCCGTCTTGAAGGGCGACCGCAGCGTCGTGCTGGAAGCAGTGGCGCAGAACGGCGACACGCTGAAGCACGCTTCGGAGCTGCTGCGGACCGACCATGGCGTAGTGCTGAGGGCGGTGGAGCAGAAGGGCGACGCGCTAAAGCACGCCTCGGAGCAGCTGCGGGGCGATCGCCACGTGGTGCTGCAGGCGGTGGCGCAAAGTGGCTCCGCGCTCAAGCATGCCTCGGAGCAGCTGCGGAGCGACCGCGGCGTCGTGCTGAAGGCGGTGGCGCAGAGTGGCTCCGCGTTGGAGTACGCCTCGGAGGAGTTGCGGGGCGACCGCGGCGTCGTGTGGAAGGCATGCACCTTCTATGGAAAGTTCAGCCGGGACTCGCTCAAGTATGCATCCGATGAGCTGAAGGGTAACCGCGACTTCATGCTGGAGGCGGTGATGCAGTACGGCTCTTCGCTGGAGTACGCATCGGAACAGCTTAAGGGCGACCGCGGCGTCGTGCTGGAGGCGGTGAAGCAGGACGGCTCTTCGCTGGAGTACGCATCGGAGGAGCTACAGGCCGACCGCGGCGTCGTGCTGGAGGCGGTGAAGCAAGACGGCTCCGCGCTGGAGTACGCATCGGAGGAGCTGCGGGGCGACCACGGCATCGTGCTGGGAGCGGTGAAGGAGAATAGCTCAATGCTGAAATTCGCCTCGGAGCAGCTGCAGGGTGACCGCGAGTTCATGCTCGAGGTGGTGGAGTACCTCATCCGCCGGACGTCTGATGATGGCTTGGACTACGTGGGCTACGTGGGCACCGAGAAGGGGATGCTGGCCGCTTGCAAGTTCCTGAACCTGGACAAGAAAGGCCATAAGTCTGACCTGGCGGCGAGGCTGGAGGAGTGGTACGAGCGCGAGGCTGCCCCTAAGCGGAAGAAGCAGAAGACGGACGGGGGTTTGGCGGCCAGCGGCCCGGGCACAAGCAGCGGAATTCCTACAGCAGCTCCGACGCCTCAGTCCGTCCTCGGGGGGCTGCTGCCTCCCGGAGCCACTCACGGCCCGCTGGTGGGCAGCAGCGACGCCAGCGTGCTCGATCGCGTCGAGACGGCGCCGCTCGTCGCCGTCGGCGCCGCCGACCCGCCGCCCTCCTCCCGCACGCGAGGCCGGCCCCGAGGCTAGCGAGGTTGAGCGAGGCGTAGGCGCTGTCGTCGAGGTGATGCCCGTCGAGGAGTCGTTCCGAGGGTCCCGGTACGAGGCGGTCGTGCTCGAGACGGACGGCGGGCGCACAAAGATCCGCTTCACCTCCTTCACCGAGGAGGAGGCGGAGTGGGTGCCGACGAACAGCTTGCGGCCGCCGCCGCCCACCCCGCCCGGCGGCGAGGGGCGCAACCCGAACGAGTGGGCAGCCCAGCTACTGGTGGTCGGGGTCGTGCGGGGAGGGAAGAGCTGTGGGTGGAGAGAGAGAGGGCTGCGAGTAGGCGGCCAAGCTGCGGGTCGGCTCACTCGTCGAGATGTACGCGGACGGCGGCTGGTGGGACGTGCTGGTCGGCGAGATGTCGACGGCACGGCTCACTCGCGAGGTGCGGCGTGCGCGTGTGCCGCCCCTGCCCGGCTTGCGCCGTCGCTGAGTCTCGCAAGCCTTCTCCTTCAGGTGTCGTACTTGTGCCGCTCCCCAAACTCCGGCGACGAGCACGAGGTGACCGCCTCGTACTTGAGGCCGCGGTGGGAGTGGCGCCGTCGCCAGCTCGCAAGTGTCGTTTCTCCGTGAGCCCCCTCTTGGGATCATACGCCGGAGCCCTGCCAACAGGCGCCCCGCCTACTCGCAGTGGGCGACGCTGCACGACGGCGGCCGTCGCACACTTGCCCACGAGGTGTGCCGAGCTCGAGGGGCTGACCGAGCATTCCCTCGAGTCTTTAGGCGCCGTCTACTCGCTGCTCACGACCGTGCAGCCGCCGCCCGTCGCGGACGTGACCTACATCAGCGTGGCCGTCGTCGCGCCGCGGGCGATGCAGAAGGGCGAGACGCTGCGCTGCGCGCTGCCCAACGGGTCTTTCTTCCAGCTCCCCATCTCGGGCAACATCGCCGCGGGCACGCCGCTCGGCTGCAAGGTTCCGCAAAAGGCCCCGCCGCCGCAGCCAGTGCGGTTCCTCATCGTCCCGCCGGGCATGGGCTACGGCGCCAAGGTGACCGCCCTCTCGCCGAACGGGCACGTCGCTCACGTTGGCGTGCCGCTGGCGCCTCCGCCCCCGGGGTCGCGGATGGCGGTGCCGGTCCCGCAGGAGCAGGCGGCGCGCTTCGAGGGCCCGACGGCGTACGAGCGGCTGCAGCAGCAGCGGCGTTCGGCCGGCCAGCTCATCTCGCGCAAGGCGCGCAACCACGAGAAGGCGGCGAAGGCATCGGAGGACGGCGGCGAGGCGCAGATGCAGGCGCAGCAGGCGCAGCAGGTGACGTGCGCGCCTGCTGTCGTCGATGAGGAGGTACGCTCCCCGACACGGGATGTTGCAGCGCTCGCGCCAGCGGCGGCCTCGGTCATGAGCGGAAGCGGCAGCGGCGCGGCGCAGCTCGAAGGTGGGGCGCCGGGCAAGGCCCTGCTGGCCGCGCCGCCGGCCGCGCCGCCGACCGGTGGCGTTCCGCCGGCCGACCCTGGCCGCGTGAGTCAAGGAGTCGATCAAGTGGTGGGCCACGAGGTGGGGACGGGGCTCGGGAAGCTCAGGAACAGGACGATCTATCGCGACCCCGCCGACGGTCGCTTCAAGATCTTCTCGGAAGGCAATGAGACGGTGCTGCACAACAAGCACACTTGGACGCGCTCGAGTGATGGCGAGAAACGCAGCGGGCAAGACGCTGACGTGCTTCCGCCGCAGCGGCAGCGAGGTATGGCAGCGGTCGCAGCGGTGGCGGCTTCGGCCATGACCGCGGGCGGCGGCGGCTATGGCGCGGCGCAGGGAGGCGGGTCGCCGGGCACCGCTCCACCGGCAGGGGCTCCCTGTTTGAAGCGCCCGTTTTCCTCGGGCTCTGCGCCCTCGCGCTTCAAACAGGCGCGTGGCGGCGGCGGTGGCGGCGGTGGCGGCGGCGGTGGCGGCGGCAGTGGTGGCGACGGTGGCGATGGCAGGAGCGGCGGCGGCAGCGGCGGCGGCGGCGGCGGCGGTGGTGGTGGCGGTGGCGGCAGCGGAGGCGGCGGCGATATTGGAGAGCAGTCGGTGCCGCCCGCGCCAGTCCACCCGGCGTTTGCTGCTGGCCTTGGCGAGTTGCCTCCTGGCATCTCACCCTCGGATGCGTCAGCCGACCTCTACGCCGAGGACGCCCTGAGCGGTGGACAGCCGCCACCGCCCACCGGCAGCGGCGGGTGCGGCGTCCACGGCGAGGTCGGACGCCGATCCGATGTGCGATAACGCGTGCACTCATTGTGCATAACATGCGAGTTCTTTCTACATGCTAGCAAAGACGAAAACAGAGCAAAACTGCCTGCGCGACGGGGCCCCCCGTCCTCGATCCGGGCCGCAGCGCTGCACCTGCAGGGCGCCGCGCCCGGGGACCACGCGGCTCTCTCACCACCTCCAGGTGCCCTTCGTCCATTTCCACGCCGGCCGGCTCGACGAGACCTCACCGCTCACTCAAGCTTGTCTCGAGGTCTCGAGTTGTTTTGTCGAGTTGGTGACCAAGAATGTCTAGAGAAGACAAAAGAAAAACGTGTTGTATGCGTCCCAACCGGGGGCCGCAGACTGGCAAACACCCTCCAGGACGAGCTCCAGCGGAAGCTCGGCCTTTGGCTCTCCGTGGCGCTTCCCACCCTTCGGGTCGCGCTCGAGCGGGGCATGTCAGTCGATTTCTTCGGCGACTACCTTTACAACAAGGCCCACCACCGGCGGCCCCACGACGGCGTCCTCGCCGCCTGGGCGGACGCGATGCGCGCCCCGGCCAACGCGCCGGTCGTGCACGGCGACAAGGAGAAACCAGAGCTCACCCGGCAGTACAACGAGGGGTACAAGGTCGACCTCGCGGAACCCCACGCTGGCCCGGGAGGATGCGATGAGGTGAATGAAGTCAAGCTCTGGACGCCCCTCCTCAAGACCTCCTCGGCGGGCGTTGGCAACGCCTCGAGCGGCGGCACGCCCGCCTCCGTTGGCCACTCCTACGCCTTCGGCAACACCGAAGAGAAGGCCCGCCGCCTAAACATGGGCTGCAAGGCGCGCGGGCAACCCGGCCAACCCTTCGACCACAAGAACGGCCACGGCTACGTCAAGGCGCATCGCGGTTTCTACCACGACGCGATCTTTGTCAAGCGCAACAACTTCAACCTGCTGCTCCACGAGACGTTCGGCGGCGGCTTCTCGCCCACCGCCGTTCTCAAGCTGCGCCGCCTCGCGCGCAAAGTCGCGCGCGGCAGCGTCGACCGCACGGCCTACTCGCCCAAGTACTCGCTCTCTTTTATGTCCCACCATGCAGAGCGCATCTCTCTCTCTGTTGTGCGAGGCGTGAACCGCGCCATTCGCTCTCACCTGGCAACCCTGTCTGCACGTCTCGCGCGCGCGTGAACAGGGCTCCAGGCCCCAAATGACGTGTGAGTGTTAGAGTTGTTTGGTATTGCTAAAAATCTCTCTCTCAGACTGGTTCTGCGCGCCAACGGCTGGTGACGCTGTGTTGCCCTTGAGCTAGTCCTTCCCCGGTCGCCTAGCCTCTGCGCTGTCTGGCGAACGCCTGTATGCCATGCGCGCGGACCACGCTTGCGTGGATACGTGGCTGGCAGGCTGACCCGTGTGCGGGCTAACCTGCGCACGGGGAAGCTTCACGGGTTCGAGTCGCCAAACATTAAGCAGCGGAGGTGTGCCGAGGGGGACCGGGAGGCGGTAAGCCGTCGTCGCCCGGCGCTGCATGCAGCACCGTGGCGATGGCGCTAAGAGGTTCCTCTTTTCCGCGCCCCCCCCCGCAAGGCGCGCGATACACACATGCGTTTACTCTGGTCTGGTCTCTTATTGGCTCCGATGGGATGGCGTGAAGGTATCTCCCCCAAAGTGCTGGTCGTGACCAGTTGACGCTGCCACGTTCGGCCGTGCCCGAGAAGGGGCGCGGTCGACACAAGGCGCGAGACACACGTCCCCCTGTGTTCACAATCGGCCAACCCGCCCACGATCTCTCAAGCAGCTTACACACACACCAGTCGACTCGCATCGGTTGCCTCCATGAACGGCGGAGCTATTCATACTCACACGAGATAGGAAAACGAAAGCTGCGGAAAAGAAAAAACCGTTACCACAAGAAAAGAGAAAAACTCGTCAACACGCGAACCTCCTCGTGTCCTAGCTCGCCACCGCGACACATATGAACCCGAACGTGCGCGCCCCGCCGCGTTCGCCTCCTCTACCAGCCAACCGCTCTACCCCCAGCGGCGCTCTCCCACTCCCGCGGCGTGCGAGCCTCAGAGCGTCTGGTCGGGCATCGCCGCCAAAACTCACCGCCGCCTCCCACTCACCGCCGCCTCCGCCCGCTGCAGGCGCCAACCTTCAACTTCAACCCCGCGGCAGGCGCTGCGTGGGCTCGCGCGTGCGGATGCGCCCCGAAGCGCACCGCTCACCGGCCCCCTGCCCCTCCCTGCCCCGCAGGCTCGTTTGTGCCCGGCGGCAATGACGGGCAGGCGCCGGGCGGCCAGCAGCAGCAGCAGCAGTACGCACAGCAGTACGGGCAGGTGGGGCTGTACGGGCAGCGGCCGCCGCACCCGTCTATGCAGCAGCAGCAGCAGCAGCAGCAGCAGTACATGCAGTACCAGCAGTACCAGCAGGGGCAGGGGCAGCAGCAGCAGCAGCAGCAGCGGATGCACCAGCAATACCAGCAGTACCAGCAGCAGGGGCAGCAGGGGCAGCCGCCGTACGGGTACCAGCAGCACCCGCCGGGGCAGTACCCGCAGCAGCGCCAGCAGCACCTGCAGGACCCGCAGCAGCAGCGCCAACCCGGCAAGGGCGGCGCCGGCCGGGGCGGCGCGCCGCAGGGCGGCAAGGGAGGGCGGGGCGGGGCGGCAAAGGGGGGCGGGGCGCAGGAGGCGGCGCCGATGAGCGCGATCCAGAAGGCGGAGGCGCGCGCCAAGGCGGCGGCCGCCGAGGCGGAGCGTCAGGCGGCGCAGAAGAAAGCCGAGCGCCGGGCCAAGCGACTTCCGAGACACTTCCTAGACACTTCCTAGGCGGCGCAGAAGAAAGCCGAGCGCAGGGCCAAGGCGGCGGCAGCCGAGGCGGAGGCGCGCCTTCGCCTAGAAGCGGAGTCCGGGGCTCTTGTCTCCCAACCGGCGCTCGAGAGGGCGCGGACTCCGCTGCACTCCGCCGAATTCCGCTGCACTCCACTGCACTTCACTGCACTCGTACCCCCTCGTACTCCCGCGGTGCTCTGAAGACTCTGCGCAAGACCGTCCCCCCGCCCCGAGGGTGGCGTCTCCACGTCTTAGGCTGCAGAAGCCAAGGCGACTTCCTAGACACTTCCTAGACACGTCCTAGACACGTCCTAGACACGTCCTAGACACGTCCTAGACACGTCCTAGGCTGCAGAGGCGAAGGCGGCCGACGAGAGGGCGGCGGCGGAGGCGGCTGCAGCCGAGGCGGCGGCGGCGGCGGAGGCGGCGGCCGCGAGCTCGCCGGCCGGTGACGAGGCGGGCGAGGCGGCCTCCAGCTGGGAGACGGCGAGCGCGACTATGCCAGAGGAGACGGCGCCCGAACCGCCGACGTCAGAGATGGAAGCACTCAAGACGGCAGAGGCGGCGGGCGCGGCGGACGGAGGTGCGGCGGCGGCGGCGGCGGCGGCGGCGGCGGTCGAGGCTGCGCCCGCTGCAGCGGCCGAGCCGGAGGCTGCGGCGGGCAAGTCGGAGCCGGCAAAGGACGAGGCGCGCGACGAGAGGGAGCACCTAAACTTGGTCTTCATCGGCCACGTCGACGCAGGCAAGTCGACCTTCTGCGGGCAGATCCTCTACCAGACCAACCAGGTGGACGCGCGCACGATCGAGAAGTACCAGGCCGAGGCCAAGGAGAAGAACCGCGACTCGTGGTTCCTCGCCTTCATCATGGACACCAACGAGGAGGAGCGCGCCAAGGGCAAGACGGTCGAGGTCGGCCGCGCCCACTTCGACTCGGAGAAGAAGCGCTACACGATCCTGGACGCGCCGGGCCACAAGAACTACGTGCCAAACATGATTGCGGGCGCGTGCCAGGCGGACGTCGGCGTGTTGGTCATCTCTGCTCGCAAGGGCGAGTTCGAGACCGGCTTCGAGCGGGGAGGGCAGACGCGCGAGCACGCGCTGCTCGCAAAGACGCTCGGCGTGCGGCTGCTGGTGGGGGCCGCCGCGCACAAGGGAGACGAGCCGTCTAGGAGCCTTCCGGGAGCCTTCCGGGTCCCTTCTAGGTGGTTGTCATCAACAAGATGGATGACCCCACGGTGAAGTGGTCCAAGGAGCGCCTCGAGCCTGTGCCCTGTGCCCAGCCCTCTCCACGCCGCGATGCGCCCCCTCCCCCCTCGCTGTTGCAAACTGCTGCGACGGCGGGGACGTGTCTGTCCTCGGCCCGGCCCTAGCTTGGGATCTCCGCTTTCTGTCTTTCAGGAGCGCTTCGAGGAGTGCAAGGACAAGCTGTCCCCCTTCCTGAAGGGCTGCGGGTACAACGTCAAGAAGGACGGCGTCCGTAGAAGCGGAATACGTGTTCATGTACCCCTAGGGCACGTATTCAGCTTGGAATCTTCCGCGGTATTCCGCTGCATTGCACTGCCCGTAGTCACGCGGCGCTCTGAAACACACGGCACAAGACCGCCTCCCCGCCCCGAGGTTGGCGTCTCCCCACCAACCTAGGACGTCGTCTTTGTGCCCATCTCGGCGCTCACCGCGGCCAACGTCATCCAGCCATTCTCCGAGCCGGGCTGGATCGACGGGCCCTGCTTCCTGGAGGTGCTCGACCAACTGCCGGCCTGCGAGCGCAACCGGGACAGCGCGCTGCGGCTGCCCATCCTCTCCAAGTACAAGGACCTGGGCCATCTCTCCCCCTCTCTGCCCACCTCTCCCCATCTCTCCCCATCTCTCCCCTTGCAGGTACAAGGACATGGGCACCATCGTCGAGGGCAAGGTGGAGCAGGGCACCATCCGGGTGGGCGACAAGCTCTGCGTGATGCCCAACCGCGTGACCGTCGAGGCGCTCCAGCGGTCGGCCGCCCGACTTCTGTTTTACGGCCGCGGGGTCTGCCGCACGCCGGTTTCTTTTTTGTTGACAGGTGCTCCAGCTGTGGCTCGACCAGGAGGAGGTGTCGTACCTCATCGGCGGCGAGAACGCGCGCGTCAAGCTCAAGGACATCTCCGACGAGGACATCATGCCCGGCTTTGTGGTTGCGCCGCGCGGTGGCCTCGCCTGCCCCGCCGTGAAGCTGTTCGAGGCGCAGATTCGGATCGTCGAGCTGCTCGAGCACAAGTCGATCTTCTCGGCGGGCTACACCGCCATCCTGCACGTCCACGCCTCCGCCGAGGAGCGCCTCCCCTACCCCCACGGAACCCGAACCCATACCCTACCCCCACGGTACCCGAACCCTGCACGTCCACGCCTCCGCCGAGGAGATCGTCCGGCTGACGAGCAGCCTGCACATGTCCGGGACACGTCCATGACATGTCCGAGACATGTCCTGCAGGAGAGCACGATCGTCCGGCTGACGAGCAGCATCGACAAGAAGACGGGGCAGCGGTCCAAGAAGCCGCCCATGTTTGTCAAGTCTGGGGCGATCGTCACGTGTGTCATCGAGGTATCGCAGTCCGCCCGCCTCGACATGTCCGGGACACGTCCATGACACGTCCGGGACACGTCCATGACACGTCCGAGACGTGTCCCTGCAGGTTGAGCAGTCCGTCTGCCTCGAGCCGTTCGAGCAGTGCCCCCAGATGGGCCGCTTCACGCTCAGAGACGAGGGGTCGACCATCGGGATCGGCAAGGTCCTCGCCCTCCTCGATGAGGCAAAGTGAGGGTAGTGGCGTGTCCGTGTCCGGCGGCGCTTCCCGCCGCGGCGGCGCCTCGTGGCTCCCCCCCCCCTCCGCGGTGGAGGGACTGACCCGATGGCGGACCGGATTCCTTGTCCACCGGACATCG